TCTCTCTCTCTCTCTCTTTCTCTCTCTCTCTCTCCCTCCCTCTCCTCTCTCTTTCACACACCTTTTATCCCCCCCCTCCTCCTCGCACTTTCTAATCAAATCTATTTGATGTATGTATTGTTATTTGTGCGGTTTTGAACTGCTTCTTCTCTAGAGGTGAAGAACCTGATGTATTTTTATTCTTTTTTGTTTCCTTTGTTATTATCTTTTTTTGAGTCAAGATCCAATAACTTCAACAATAGAATAGTCTCACAAAACAGCAGTAATTTGAATAATCTAATAAAAGAAAGCAGCAACATGAAATATACCCACATGGACAATAAGGTACTACATTAAAAACAATGAAACGGAACAGAGACACTCTCTGTCGCGGGGGCTCTCGTGGCCTAGAAGTTAAGGTGTTGACCTCTCATTCAAAGGTCCCGGGTTCGAATCCGGATAGCGACCGACAAATTTTCTTCTCTAAAATTGTCTCCTTTCACCTCCTTTCCGGCTCTCTAGCAATGTTCTGTTGTCTGCTTTCATTTCCACTTTCTGCCCCCCACCCCTCACCTCATTTGCCCCCTCCTCTGGGCTCCTGACTCTTTCTGCAGCCTTTCTACTGCTACTCCTTGGCTCCTCATTACTGCTGTCTTTCTGCCACACCCCTGATCTTCTGGTAGGAAAGATCTACACCTAGCCTTCTGGGACAAGGGCACAAAATCTGGGAGGGCCCGTGTGCAAGTTGCGCACGTTAAAGATCCCTTGGTGGTCTAAAATCGACAAGAGTAGATTTCGGCCGATACCCGGGCAAAATTCAAAATTTCCTACCAACTGAAAATATTAGGTGTGTCCCGGGCGCTCATACGACCTTATGCAGTTGCGAGCGCCGAAAACACTTTACAAAAACAAACAAAAACTCTCTGTCGTGTCTGTAATTCAGTACTTTCATAGTAATTTGCAACTAAACAGGATAAGATGCAGTGCAAATAACGCCTATCTCACAACCCGGAAGCTCTTGGAAAGATGCTTTTTTCCTTTAAAAAAAACGTTGACATATTACAACAATAATACATCCAAAATACAGATATAGCACAGTACAACCATGATGTCAACAGATAAAAATGGTACGTTCATTCCAATGTGCTCGTGGCAATTGTGACAGATCTGAATGTGTACATTTTTACCACCATAAGCCTGTGTACCCATGCCATGATCCACTAAATACTTGAACAAGTGCGACTGTCACAACGCTAAGGATGAGATTGTAAGGTAAACAAATCAGATCGTTTCCATTATGTTTCACTGTTAGCAGAATGCGTGAAATTCTCCACACGTCATCTTTCTTGGCTCTCAGCTTCTTTGCGCACTGTAAACTTTCTTTAAGAATGTGAAGGGGAGTGAAGTTTACTTATTTACTTTAAATGTTCCAACAGTTTGAACAGGAGCGTAAAGGTGTGGGGGAATTCAGTATCAGGGTTTTCCTCATCGCAAGTACTGCCTCTTTCCGATAAACGTTCGACGAAAACTGCCTCACCATGGGAACTGAATTTCCCGAAAAATGATTCAGAAGATGCAATTTCAGCCCACTCACCACTTTTATCCTTCCTCCCCCCTCCTCCTCTCACCTCCCCCTCCCCCA